ATTAACCTTCCTAAAATTATAATTAAGTTTATATTATTGTTTACAAATTATGCTTAATTGAATCAATTAGATATTCATAAAATAAATCAAAAATTAAAAAAAAGTATTGATTATTTAATGGTTGTTTTTTTATTCTAAACATTTTTATTCATCAAAGGATTTTTTCTTCATTAATTTAATCTTTTATATTTATATGAATAAATGTATTTTCAGGAAAGCATTTATTAGGAATTTTTTGATTTAAAAAAACATACTAGAGGTAACTTTGTCATATTATTCAAACATTCAAAGACAATAATGAAAATTTTCTTTTATTACTAGTAGTTTGAATACTAACTATATAGACTCTACGTATTTTAATTATTATTATATTGAGTAAATCAAAAGTATAAAGTATTTTGTCTATATTTTTAATATATTATAAAGTATAATTATATATAATACACTAATTTAAAACAAAATTAATAAAATTTTATTTTTTCTTTTAGGTTATTAGTTGAGTATTATATAATAGTAGTATAAAGATGATTTAATAAATCATATTAACTTAAGAAACCATTAAGTCATCTATTTGAAAATTTACATATTTGGATATTTGAAAGATTTTGAAATTTAATATCTTGAATAAATGAAAATGCTTTAGTAATTACTAATGCTTATGTAACAGCATTTTACTTTTGTCATTATCTAGTAATCTAATTTGATAATATATTTTTAATTGCAGATACTATGATGATCTTCTTTTATATAATTTAAAGAATTTTGAAAAAACATTAATTAAATTATCTTTTTTATTTATTAATTTGTATAATTATTTAGGTTGAATATTAAATTTTCTACCTATTTTGCAAATACTAGTAGAATTTTTTTATAATAATTTATTATTTTTAATTTTTCTTGAGTATATCAATATTTTTATAATTATTTGTTATTCATACTTTTAAATAACTTTTATTACTATTTTTAGCTACTATTTTAAATTAATATATTCATTAAAAATATGAAAGAATTTATATTTATTTTAAATAATAATTACAATATAAAAAATATATTAAATAAAATCAAATGAAATTTTAAATATAAAGAAAAAAATATTATTCTTTTATGATTTTTAAAGTTAATTTCTTATAATGAGATTTTAAAATAGAGTAACTATTATTTTATGAAATAAATAATCAAAATCACATTATATTATTATGACATTACTGTTATGACTATTACATTAAAATTTTTGAAGTTTTTTTTACATCATAATGATTATATTATTTTCTTAACTTTTATTTGATCTATAAAGAAATTTAATCTTAAACTTCTAAATATTGATTAATGTAAAATAATGGATAATTAATAATAAATATGTATTATGAAAATCTTTAAAATTAGCTAATATATATTATATGTAATTATAAGAAAGAATGATATTTTAAAGAGCAATTTATAGTAATATATATTTATAAAATTAATTTAAAATATTTTATTTATTATAAAAAATGAATTTATAATAAATAAGTAAATTTATTTATTATCTAAGAAATAATAATTAAATTTTATTTTTAATTTTTTAAATAAATATTGCAATTATTTTATATTAAATAATTAAAATTATTGATTTATAATTTTAAAAAAAGAATTTTACTAACTATAACTGGGGATGATCATCAACAATATCACATAACTATATTAAGTCATGTGATCATACTAAGTTACGTATTTCAATATATTTTATTAAAAAAATATATATATATATTAAATTTTTATTTAAAGCAATACATTATTATTACTGATCTTGTTTGACACATTTTGCTTTATTTCTAGCATTATGATCAGATTCTCCACAAACTTTGCATATATATTTTTATTTGCTTGTATTTTCACTTATATCATCAAGTGCTATATGATCATTATCTTATCCATGATTGGTAATATCATAGGTGTGTAAAGGGATTCTTGATAAAGATTGTAAATTAGAATCAGGTAGATTAAGAACACTAGTTTTAGTACTATGGTATGCATTTTCTAATGCTGATTTAATACATTTATATGGTAGACGTCTACGCTATTTTTAAACTAAAAGATCAAACATACTTAAATTTTCTTTATTTTTATCATTTGTATCATCAATATTATTTTTCATACGATTGATGAATTCATTAACCATATCAATAAATTTGGTTTCACAACCTAAATCTAACGTTAAATTAAGAGCTTTTTTATCTTTCCAAACCTATATGCATATTTTTTTTTCTTTGTACGTGTTGTTTAACATTAGCTGTAAATGTATCTGGTGCTCTAAGCTGATTAAGAATATGTAAATTGGCTACTAACAATTCGTGATTACTATTACTATCTTGTTAAAATTGTGTTTCTATTTCCATACATTTATATTGCAAATTATTTTGATCATCTTTATCTTGAATATCTTCTAGATACCATCACTTTGCAATAAGATGTACAGTATATTAAATTTTGCAACCTTAGAATTCATCATCACATGAAAAAAATGCGAACATACAAGTTCACGATTAATTATAGCCAAATATGTATATAAATGACTACCATCTATTAGAAAAATAATATAATGCTTATATGATTTAGTAAGACCAGTAAGTTCCCAAATTTCTATGATATCAGATAACTGGATTCTTTCCAATAGGAAAAAAATGGATGTTTGCAGCCTATTTATTGATCTTCGAAGAATCTATCGTCATAGTTGTGCTAATCGTTATCCTAATAAAAAATTTGTAAGTGTTAAGTTTTCCTATCTTCTAATTTTTTAATCCTGTCCCCAACATCTTTTTCGCTTTTAATAT